ATACTGACATAAATGAACATTTGCACGATATTCTAATTTTTCGAGTTTCACCTGTATATTCCACTAATTAGTTTTGTTGCCTTATATGAAAAGTATTGCTCCATCTGATAATTTCAGATACTAAAACTTATTTTGAATGCTTCCTTTTTCATAGTGGGGCAGTTGTCCCCTAAAAATATTCTAAGCAAGCTATTTCTGCAGTTACAGTAAAACCTTGATAAGCGAATTTCCCATAAGAAATAATGGAAACTCAGATGATTCGTTCCACAACCCAAAAATATTCATATCAAAATGATTACAATACTGTAATATAATACAAAATAATAAAGAAAATACACAATATAAAGAAAAATCAAACAAATTAACCTGCACTTACCTTTGAAAATCTTTGTGGCTGGTGTGAGGGAGACAAGAGAGAGGAGGGTTATTGTGTAGGATGACTTTCACTATCACTAGCTTGGGAGATGATCACCCACAATCCTGCAGAGAGAGAGAGAAGAACCATTGGCTCAGTTGTGATCATGTGACGTTTGGTGTCACGTTCTACTCGTATTGCAAGACATTGCTCGTTTATCAAGTTAAAATTTATTAGAAATGTTTGCTCATCTTGCGAAACACTTGCAGATCAAGTTATTCGCAATCCAAGGTTTTACTGTATTAGCAAAAGAAAGCATTCTCAGGCAGCGTTCAGAATGAGTGGTTCTGGGAAGCAAAGAGGAACAAATGGCTGCAGCGTTTGCCTTCAGGATGGAATATGAGTTGTTGACTAAAATATGGTGAAAACAATTATCTGGTTTTATGACCCAAAACAATTATTGATTATCTGTTGTAAAGGTGAGGAGCTGCAGTATGGTAGAGATCTGCAAATCAGAACATATTAACAGGTTTTTTGATGTATGACTGCTCCTCGAAGTTCCAGCCATCGCATCATCCCCGCAGTCACATGATCATGATTTGGGTGCTTGGCAACTGGCTCACACTTACGACAGTTGCAGTGTCCTGCAGTCACATGATCACCATTTGCCACCTTCCCTGGCAGCTTCTCACAAGCAAAGTCAATGGGGAAGCCAGCAGGGAAGGTTGCAGGTCACTCTATTAAGTCCCCCCCCACCTTCCTGCACATGTGCCCTGCTGCACCATCCACTCCCTGGCCTTCCTGCACATGTCTCATACTGCACCATCCATACCTTGGCCTTCCTGCACGAGCGCCATGCCACAGCACCCCCCTCCCAGGGCCTCCCCCAGCCTCCCCCACCCCCCAAGGCACCCCCACACTCCTTACCTGAGATTCCCACCACTTCCCATTTAACAACCTGCACAGGATTGTCATTGCTAAGCAATGTGTTCCTGTGATGTTTCACTTTATGACTGTATCACTTAGCAACAGCAATCCCGGTCCCAATTTCTGTCATAACCCGAAGACTACCTGTACTGTATTAGGTTGCATGGTAGTAGGACTTTGATACTGTGTTTTGTTCCTCTATTATGTCTGTTTTTCTAGCAATTTTGGTTGGGAATAAAATACAAACTATGGATAGTATTTGCTGTCTTAAGTAATTTATTCAAAATGCAATAAATAAATAGGCGGCTTAATAGTCTAAATTTTTCCGTTTCTGTGTGCTGTCTTCCTTCAGCACATCAGTTTTTAAGTGCTACAATTCTTGCTGAAATATTCTACCTGCTTCTGTTGTTTTAGGTTGCAGAAAAGACTGGAGAGAGAGAGAGAGAGAGAGAGACTAACATTGAATGCAATCTACTTACATTCCACACACTTTCAAAACTTGAACTTGCCATGAGATTATGAACCTGTATCTAAAATTTCTGTTTGTATTGTGTTTACAGCTGATGGCACAGTTGACAGTGGCCAGGGTTCATCTCTCTTTAGTGAATCATGTGTGAGTAGCCAACAGACTGCTTCCTTCGGTTCCCAGCATGAACAGTCTCTTCCAACACTTCCAGCCTCAGGATATGCAGTTCCTGTTGGTCAGCCACAGTCACAACAGCCTGGAGGATACCAGACATCTACGGCGGTAAGCACAAAATTAAGCAGGAAGGCGAGAACTCTGGAATCTTGTTCTGTTCCCCTGGATTTGTTTAGAGTTTAAATTTGCACCCTGAGGTTTGATCATAAGTAATATAGAAAAACTGTGTGCAAGCCTGTTGATTGCCTTTCTCTATCTCTTTAAGAAAGTAAAGCATAGTGAGCTGGGTGGGAAACATTTGCTAGGAACAGTAACATTCGCACACGCAGGGGGTGTTTGAAGCTGTTTTTAGTTTCAAGCATTGTTGAATTGCAGATGGAGTAAAACTTGTGAGATGCAGTTTCTGACTAAATGATGACATTTATAAAAACATGTGTTATGTGAATGTGTTGTAAGTTTTCAATTGCAGCTAAACAAGGTAAGAACTATTAACTGTTACAGAATGCTGCATGCAACCACATCAGTTTTAAGTGAACCCTACGTCTCCATTTATTTATAGCTTCCTTTTAATTGCTTATGGGCACAGTTACCTTTCCCACTTCATCTGTTCATTTGTGTTACCCTATAATTTGTATGTTTTTCTGCTGGTTTTCAGAGCTGACATTGGGGGTCTTCTAGAAGATCTTACCTCCTATTCTATTCATTATGCCTTTTTATTATGAAAAATTGCTGCTTGTGGAGTCTGTACTGATAAAAAATGTAACTGGTCATGGAATCTGACCCATAGCTAGAGGTTTCAACATTTGGATAATGATGATATATTCATTTATATCACATTGATACAGGAAGTTAGAGAAGTAATCCTTTGCTAGAAGAGAAATGATGCCATACATTTCAAATGCACTTATGAAGGCTTGTGCCCTTTTATCCCATGATTAAATGCAACGTTTGGCATGAATAATTTTAGTTCCTCTGTTTCAGTTCAAAAATACTGTTTAGACAATAACCCATTAAGTAGTCTTCACATGCATTGCTTCAAGATTCAATAATCATAAATAACACTAAAAGTATGTTAATAGTTCTTCTGAGCAGGCCAGTGTCAGGTTGAAAATCTGAGCAGGCAAATTCAAATTTCCAGAAAAAAAAGTCATCCAGTCTGTTCTGGAAGTTACAGTTTTGAGGGAGTCTCAGTGGGAGAGATGACTTGGGAAGAAGATAATTAAAAAAAAAAACAAAAAACTAGAAAAGTGTTTGATGGGAAGAAAAGAAACTGGCTTCTGGAAGAGCTACTACATAATTTTAAAAAAGACTAAGATGGTTCGGTCAATAAAATAAGTAAATTATCAGTTACTTTGGGGATGTAAGCAGATCATAGCATCTTTGTTTTCTAATGAACTCTTCTACAACATTGTTCACTTGTCATATTTGTTTTTAATCTTAAAATGTGAACATGTGCAGGTTATAATGTGAATCACTATTTTGTGTCATATAATTATTAGCTGAATAAAGTTTTAGAGAGATCCTGGCAAAGCATTATTTAGGAAACCATTCCAGTTCAAAGAGAATGAACTGGAATGAAGAAAAGAAGTGCAATTTTAGGGAAAAAAGTTACTGGAGACAATTATATTAACATTTAATTGTTAACACTTGGAAGGAAGATCACTTCTTCATTAAGAGCTTGTTTTCTGTGCCAAAACAGAGTAAACATCTAGTGGATCCCTTAAACATAACATTCTGATGGAATCAGGAGCTTGGAACAGATGCTTTCTTTCTACATATACTGTTTGTAAACGATTTTGTAGTAGGAGACTTGGTTTTAATGGAATTTAATAGTCAGAGGAAAACCTGAAAGTCCCTAAGGTACACATAGCATCTTTGTGTGCAATGTCTCTGTCAGGTTTCTTCATACCCCTATCTGTAATAATCAGTATCAGCCTTCTGCCCTGAATATGTGTCCCTGAGTTTCAGCTCATTAGTCATGTCATTTATGTTCATTTCTTTTTGTTTGTTTTTTCTTAGCCTCAACGTGGCTGTAGCATGTCAGTTTGTGCTTCCCCTCTTTTCCCCTTCCCTTCCTCCCCAGTTCCTCCCAGTGCTCCTTCCACTCCGCCATTAGCGTTGTCTGCATCTCTTTCTTCTTCCTACCTTCGGACTGCCCCGCAGGAAACCTTTGGTGAAAAGCTTTCCAAAGCCCTGGAGAGTGTCCTGCCCATGCACATCACCTCTCCATGCAACCACCGGCGTTCCAGCCTGCCTTCCCTCTCTGTCAGCCCTGTATGTCACTCTCCTGACACATTAAGATAAGTTACCACTAAATACATCCTGGCTTCATTATTAGATAAGGATGAAAAAGGGACCATGGTTACTCTGTGCTATTGGAAAGCTAATTCCTCTCCTTCCTAAAGTTGGAAATTAATTTGATCAAAGCTTCAGGAAAACACTTAAAAGTGCCACAGAATTTATAGGACCAATCTGAAAATTACTGTATTCTTACACTTTTGAACATTTTCTCAGTTTCATCTTTGGATAATAACTAAGGGTAAAGGTAAGCACTACAGTCGATTCTCATTATTCATGGATTACATAATTGCAAATTCACTTACTTGCTAAAATTTATTTGTAACTACAAAATCAGTACTTGTTGCACTTTTACAGTGATTCATGGACATGCAGAGCGGTGAAAAATTTGAGTCGCCCAATATGCACTTTACTAGCTGTGATTTCAGTATTTGCTAATTCAGTGTTTGCGGCGACTTTACAGAGCATAATACTGTGAATAATGAGAATCCTCTGTACCAGGTTTCCTGGCAGCCACATGGACAGCTTTTCTTGGCACAATAGGGAATGGTTTCTCATTGCCTTTTTTCAGTTTTTTTTTTTTTTTTTTTAACATCCCAGTCTAGCCTACAGCCCTGGGATTTCCTGGTAGTCTTCTATTCAAGTACTATTCAGGTGTAATACAGCTTAACTTTTTTTTCAGAATTGGCCAAAATCAGTTAGGTGCTTCCACCTGCTATATGTTAGTAATTCTGAAAGTAGCATTTATTTATTTATTTATTATTCAGTCAATCAGTCTATCAATTTATGTGGCTACCCATCTCAAACAAGTGACTGGGTGGGTAACAACCACAGCAGCAACAAACCAGCCCCCCAAAAGATTATTTATTTATTTATTTAATTAATTAATCAGATTTGTCATTGCCCATCTCATGAAATGACTCTGGGCAGTTTATAGCAAAAATTTGCAGCCAAGATTAAAAACAAAACAAAACAAAAAACTGTCAATAGAGATACTATAAAAATATTTTGACAAATTTACAAAACTAATTCACAGGATCCATCAAACATGAAGTCTGTTACATAAGT